GTTGTATATAACATATTTATATCATTTTTTATTTGTAATAGTCATGGCATATCGCCACCCATCATCTGAACCAAGTAAGTTGAAAATTGATATCTATGGAATAATTCATCCCTCATTATCTTTAACTGGATCATTTTTATTTTTTCAAAAAAAACATTCACCCCATCAGATGTGCCAAGATATTACCGTAAGTATGCTGTATGAAGACTTGAAGTCCATTGATTTCTTGACTAACGTTAAATGTTTTTAGGACGAAGAAAGTGCTATGTTTGCGGGGGGAGGGGGCACACCGCCCATAGGTATGCTAAAATTCCTTACTTAATCATGTGTTGTCCGTCCAATTTCAAATGAAGTTATTGTGTTGCTTTTTGTTGTAGGTGCCCCTCCCCTGACAACATCAACATCAGAGGTACAGTTCAACTGATATTCTCATCCAAAGCAGAATGGTCAATTTAATTGCTATTTTTCTGTTGTAGATGCCAGCACATGCAATAATTGTGGGGGGAGGGGACACGCCTCTTTGGCATGTCCCACTCCTTCCAATAGAGGGAACAAGGAAGAGAGAAGTATGTAAACATCTGCTCAAAATTATTAGTTGATTTCACAATTTCAAATATCATAACTTTTTTTTGTTTCATTTTCAGTGGCAGCCCTCTTAAATAACCTCGATGAGGTTAAGAACAGGCATATCATCAACAACTACATCTTTTAGTAAAACTCTCATCAAAGAACCTCATCGATTGTACTCGTCATCGTTTCTCTATTACGCGCGCATCCAGTATTTTTGGTCATATTTTTCGACATTTTGTAGTTTTGGTCATATCAGTATGCCAATTATCAATTTATTACATTTTGTAATAAGTTTTCTTTCTTTGTAGTTTTGGTCATACAATGTATCAATATGACATATCAATATTACATTTTGTAATAAGTTTTCCTCTTTTGTAATTTTGGTCATATCAGTATGCCATATCAATATTACATTTTGTAATAAGTTTTCTTTCTTTGTAGTTTTGGTCATATCAATATGCAAATTATCAATTTATTACATTTTGTAATAAGTTTTCTTTC